TTCCTTCCTTCCTTCCTTCCTTCCTTCCTTTCTTTCTTTCTTTCTTTCTTTCTTTCTTTCTTTCTTTCTTTCTTTCTTTCTTTCTTTCTTTCTCTTTCTCTCTTTCTTTTTCTTTTTTGGAATCCCTCTAATGGTTTTCTATAAATAGGTTCTTTTGATATACTTTTCCACAGTACAAGTACTGATAGATTTGCTTATGGAAAATCTTTAGGGAATGCACTGGTCAGTGGGAAGAGGGTTATCACGAAAGATGTGAACACTGATGTGGGAGGCCTCAGCAATCTAGATATGGAAGTGGAAGGACTACTTGGAACTGACAGTTTGAGTAATGGCAGGAGGGACATCATCAAGATGCTCCCGATACATTATTTATAAGTGATTTAAATGAAAGATGAGAAGCAGATGGAAAGGAAGTACAATGTGCGGTGTGTCTACAGCATGCCTGTATTTGAACATGATCATTGGAAAGACTGATCAAATGTTATAGTTTAGGGACCATGCTTACCCAATGATCATTCCTTTAAAAGTAAAGCTTGAAATTTGGGAAATGACATTTTTACAAGATGGCAAAACTGGACTTGTTTTGTTTTCTAAGGTGATTGATATGCCTGAGCACAACCCTGGCAATTTGGGAGGAACAATGAGACTGGGAATAAGAAGAACTGTTTTCAAAACTGAAAATTCAATATTAAGTAAGTTTCCCATGTTGTTTATTTTACAAGACGTCGGATGTCGCTCATGTAACTGCAGGTGCCCCACACTCTGGGTGGTGGAGACTCACCCCTGCCCCTTCCAGCATCCTTGGAGGGCCCTGATTCTCCCTCTTCCCGTCTCCCTTACCCTCACTGACCCTCTGCTCTGGGCATTCCTCTCCCTAGTAAGCTTGTCCCTTGGGCTGGCCTCAGTAGAACACACTGAATGCCCCTCCGCATTTGATCTGCATGACTACCTGTTCATTGGGCTGTTTTGTGAGTTACCGATGCTCCTGGAGATGAACTTGAACTGGGAGAGAGAGCCCTGATTCACACTCAGTTCTTTTGAATCCATAGTTCTCTCCTTTATATTTGAACCGGTTCCCTGTTTAATGTCTGTTTACCTGGTCTTAGTGACTCACAAATGAACTTCGAAGCAGGAGGGCAGTTGTGCATCTCAGAAGCATATTTCTCTGTTCCCTGGCAGCCCCAGTGTGGGGAGATGGCTTGCCATTTGATATTTGCTGATCTTTCCACTCCCCGAAAGGTTAATTCTAATTTCTGTGGAACTGTTTTCATAAATTAGCATATTACATAAGAATAACTTATTGTTTAAAACAAACCAAAGCCTTTAATTCAATTTAATAAATGTATCTTGAGTGCCCACTCTGTGCCATGTGCAGATATAATAGTGACCAGGACAGATACCAGCCCTGCCCTCCTAGGACCTCAAAACAAGTGGAAGAAATGTGACAAAAGGGGAAGGCAGATTGCTAAGGGGACCGGATGCTCAGGAATTGTGAGTGTTCAGTGTCATTTTCGTGAAATTATAAGAATCCCTTAGAATCCTGTGAAGTTATAAGAATTCTTTAGAAAATGCCTTCTTAACTCAAGAAAGAGTAAGACCAGAAATATGAGCTTCTCCTTTAAAGATGAATATAAACTTTCTAAGGAATAGAAAGCTTCCCAGCCAGAATGAAATTTAAAAATGAAAGGCTTCAAAGTGAATACAGTTTCCTCCTTTCTCGGCATAAAAAGCCATTGTTCTCTAAGTCGCTAACATTTTTCCTTACAAATACTATATAAGAATTTTTTTTCTTCATGAGTGTTAGCAATTCTGTAGCTTTCAGGTGTCTTCAGATACTATGAAACTTTGTTCAAATAATTGCCTACGTGACAAAAAATGGTTAGTGAAAAATTAATGTCCTAAAATTATATCTATTGAGAAAGATTCACTGATAATTGTACTAACTTTTTAAAAAGAGCATTGTACTCAATATAGTTAAAAATTTGATAGATATAAGTCTGATTTAAGATTTTTCTTAGCCAGTCGCAGTGGCTTACACCAGCACTTTGGGAGGCTGAGGCAAGCAGATTGCTTGAGCCCAGGAATTCAAGACCAGCCTGGGCAACATGGGGAGACACTGCGTCTACAAAAATTACAAAAATTAGCCTGGCATGGTGGCTCATGCCTGTGGTCCCAGCCACTGGGGAGGCTGAAGCGGGACGATCCCCTGAGCCCAGGAGGTTGAGTCTGCAGTGAGCCATGATGGTGCTACTGCACTCCAGCCTGGGTAAAAAAGATTTGTTTTTCTTAGTGCTGGATGTGGTGTAATGTGCCTGTAGTCCCAGCTGCTTGGGAGGCTGAGGTGGGAGGATTGCTTGAACCCAGGAGTCGGAGACCAGGCTGGGCAACATAGTGAGACTCCGTCTCAATTTAAAAAATAGAATTTGTTTTTCTTCACAGTAGACGTAAAAATATTGATGATTTGATTATTTTTATGAATCTTAAACACAGCACCAAAGCTTGTTTTGAAAAATTTTGAAAACAACTTTACTGAGATATAATTCATCTATTAGTAGTGTACAATTCACGGATTTTTTTTTTTTTTTTTTTTTTTGGCTACTGAATG